ACTTTTAAACCAGCATTGGGATCTCTTTTTCCTTTCCTTTATTGATTTACTACACTGTGAAAATCTCCAAGTTTCAACTGCTGTGTGACAGAGACCAGAGAAAATCATAAGCCCATGGAAAATAAGCCCAAGAATTATGTATACCAGTGCTTTTCACCAATGTTATTTATTTCCACCAGAAGCAATCACACTGACATCAGTGGACTACTCAGAGATATTGTCTAATACAAGCAAGAGGGTCACAGTCTGGCTGCCTAAAAAGTACAGTACAAGGAACAGGACTGAATCTCCAAAGTACAGCACCAGCCCATCTCTAACTTTCACAGGTTAATGTGTAACCCCATATCTAAGAAAGTGAGGTGGTGAAAAGCTGGAAAGAACATCCTAGTCTAGTGGGAAAGACATAATGGAAGGTCTTTCCTCACTGGTAGTAGTAATGAAATAAAGTGTCTTAGGATAATCTTTTCCAAATGGGAACAGAAAAAGAAAAAAAACAAAACGAGAGGCCTTGTTTTTAGAAATCCTGAGCACCTAGGAGTGTGTACTAGCCATGTCTGTGCTAGCAATTTAAAAAGACTGCTCAGGCACTGTAATTTAGTGCTTTGTGTCCCTAAACTGCAAGTACAATCCCTTGGAGAAGTCTGGGCTTTGTCCAGCTTTCTAACAGTTCCCAGGCATGGTTTGGGTAATAGCATGGATAAGAGACCATTCCCAATAGGCGCTTGAGGCCAGGCTACCCTGGCCTGGAGAGCCTAGTCACATAGGTACGGAGGTAGGGGCTGCTCCATGCCAACTGCCTTTAGTGCCAGAGAACAGTCCTTGGTACATTTGATTTCTTAATATAGACCAGCAGCTGATACGGAAATTTCCAGATACCTGACAATTCAGAAAGTCCAATTGCTTAAGTTGAATGTATGGATTTAGGGCCTAATTATAGACCTGTTTTTAAAAAGATGTTGGCCTGAATAACTGAACAAATACAGGGCAAAGAGTTCTTCCTTAATGCCAGCGGAAACTTGATGGCTAGGAGACATGCCAGCTGCCAGCTGGATCACTCTCTCCAAGCACTGTATTGGTTTTCCCCTCCTCTGGCTGCTCAGTAAGTGCCCAGAAATGCTCTTTCCATTGCCCATTTGTACATAATTTATGCACACGGAAAGACTTGGGTTATCACCAGCAAACAGCTGTGACAAAAATAGCAATGTGAATGACTTGACTTGGTTTTCTGATATTCCTTTACCCTCTTCGTTACAGCACTGCATTTTCAAGCAGATTATGCCTAAAAGCTAGTTGATGAACTAACAACTTTCAGGCTTCAAATATGTAAAATAAATCCTGGTGTTAGATGCTCAAAGATGGAAAAACATCCACTGCCCAGATTTCACTCCTTGAAGTGCACAGCTTCTTTTGGCTTTAATGAACCATGAAAATACCATGAGGAGAACTTGCACCTAAGTACTTTGATGTCCATAAATACTCAGATTGCTTTAATAAGAAAAACAGTTGCATCAGTATTGTACAGCATTGCATCACACACTTCTACTTTATTTTTTTGGTTGGCATAACTGTCTCAAGTGTTTAGTTTTGTTAAAGAACACGCATTCTTCAGCAGTCGCTGTGGAGCGATGAACCTTTAAAAACCCACAGTGGAAAAATGAGCAGGGAAAGTGAAATAACCAGCCTGTTTCCTACTGTTTTCACAGTAATCAGTCTGTTTTCACACTTAAGTCTGTCCTTCCTTTTGAATACTATTTCAAGTTATTCTGGAAGAAGGGATGGAAAAATCAAGTGACAATTACGTTCCTATAAATGTAATGAAAAAAAAATATTCACTAACCCAAACATAAATTGGTACTTTATTGATAATATATCGAATTGTCTTTCTTACTCAAATGTTCCATCCATAGTAAACAAAACCTTTAAGAATCTTTTATATGAGACAAGGTTTAGCAATTAATTTTTGGAGCTACGATTATCTGAAGAATAATTATAAGCATTCCATCTGTGCATCCAGGCTTTAATTTACTCTGTCTCCAAAAAATTCTCAATTAACACTTGTAGCTATTTAAATTGCTTAAACCTACTGATATTTATGTTTACAGGCTGATGGCTAATATAATTTGTCAGCTTATAACAATAAGTTGTTTTTCTTTTTATTGATCTTAAATTGCCTTTTCTTAATCCAACTCCACACCTTACATATCTCCTATCATAACCAAATTATTAGCATATCTGAAAAGATGGTAGAACTCTTCTATAGTTGTGATATTCTGAAAATTTTACCTTCTATCAAACCATTTTTCAGTAGTCATTTTAAAGAGGATAAATTATATCCCAGAGTACTCATGAACTGTTACAAAACTGAAGAGATTTCCCTCCTTACCTACATTTTTCAGTTCCAAGCACCTAATTTTATCATTCAAATGTTTTATTTCAGATTCCAAATTTTTCATCAAAACCCAAGACTAATTTACAGAATGTTATGATGCTTTTTTGATTTCAGATTTGATAAAATCTATATATTTAATAGTATTTTCCATGTTTTTCTTGAGTAGCTGACAAAATACTTGATCCCCAAGGGTACCTTTATTCTAAATCCCATATTGATGTTCCCTTCTCATTTCCATTGATTTGGGGATAATGTAAAAAAGATGGCATTAATAGTAGAGATGCCATGATAATCTTTCGATTTAATCTCGTCATGCTTTCTCATAATTTGGTATGTGTTAATGCTCATCTGTTCCACTGAGATACTTCCAGAGTACGAAGCCTAGCTTATAGTCTTTTTGTTACCTTATGCGTTTAATAATTAATCAAGAGGTTTACCAGTATCTGTTATCTTTTTGATCACAAGCAATCTAATTTCCTCTTCAGTTTCTTTTAAAAACTATTTCTCCCATATTTGCTTCCAGAAGAAGTTGTTTGCTTTTAAGATAATTAAGAAGTGTACTCAAATCTTCCCTCAATTGTTCCATAACTGTATTCTTTGAAATGAAAAGATGCCCATTTTTGTTCTTCATCAGAACTTCTCTGGTCCAGTGATAGTATCTTCCCATACTCCTTTTGCCCTACTCCATCTCCTTCAGAGAGCTACATACGCAGTGCTTTTACCACCAGCTCTCCACTGGCTCTTTCAATAGCAGACCTAGGAGGTCTGAAAAAGAAAAGACCCAAGAGAAAGATGACAGTGGTCTATACAAGTAGGGTGGACAGTGTGAATAGAGATCAATTGCTCATTACCTTTTTGAGAAAAATAAGGGGTATCAAATAAAGGTGGTAGGTGACAGATTAAAAAAAAAAAAAACAGAAAAGGAAACACTTCTTCACACAGTGTAGAAGTCTTGGCCATGTGGGATCAGAATATTAAAATGTCACAAGAGTTTAAAAAGCAATGAAAAAAAATTGTTGAAGAAAAGCCTACCGGGGACTGTTTAGATACAAAGATAGTGTATACAGTTTGTAAGCCACAGGTTGCTGAGAGCTGTGCAACTATTCGGGGGCTGGTGTCATATATGCTTGTCTTGTTCCTACCCTCTTCTCTGCACATCTACTGTTGGCAGCTTTGGAGAGCAAGGTCTTGAGGGAGTGGGACATTTTGTATGACCTAGAGGCCAAGGCTGTCCTTGGCCTCTCTTCTGCCTTATCACATTTTCCAGAGATTTTGTTTCCGAAGACATACGATCTTTGAGGCATATCAATTCTCAGTTGTTCTTTTCCAGACTTTATGAAAACCCTGTTCATATCGTTCCTATTGCCATACTGACGGCCTCATTTACATCAAGATCAGCCATAACATTCACACGGTTTTAAAATCTACAAGCCTGTTTTATTAATATTATCTGATATTCCTATCTTTATTTGGATTCCTCCAAAGCACTATATTTTATGAGCAACTCAGCTATTTTTTTCCATTCTTTATTGTGCCAAGGTGGGGTTTTTTTCCACTGCTTTTCAGTGCTTTACAGCTTCACAGTCAGCTTCCCTTATTAGTGTTCTGACAGACAAAAGTTAAGTGACCACCAGCTGGCATCATGATTTTTCAAAACATCTTCTGAACTTACCATTTATGTAAAGCATATCTACAAATTCTACATATCCAATACTGAAAAGCAGTCAATATGAGTAATGCAAGCTAAAGATGTTCCTTAAATATGAAATGGTTGAGAGGTAGAGGCTATTAGACTAGTGGAATTACTCTCCATAGCTTTTACGTTTCAATAATACTTGACTGGAACCCAGTCATATTCCAGGAAGGAATATTGTAGGACCAAATTTTATTATCCAACAAATCCCAGGAAAAAAGATATTCTGCAATGGAGCAAGATAATGGCTAGGCAAGAGAATCAGACAGCTCAAGTCATGGACATTCTCAGTAGTCGTGATCTCTTGCTATATCTCCTCTAAAGTTTACCATTTATTTGATTTGTAAAATATGTGTGGAAGTAATGTTGTGATTTTCATGATAGTCTAAGTACAAAAATTAGGCAAGACCTGTGGGAGAGAGATTTTAATTTACTAGATAACTGCTAGAACTGGGGAAAAGGCAAGCTCTGAGGCATAAAAGTCTTTTTTCAGGGTATTATCTCTCCCTACATACCTTTCCTCATTTATGTAGCATCTGCATAATTTAAAATTAATCACTATTTGCCTGGGCACATTGTGTAATATCAGTTTCTTAATGGAAATAGTTATGGATCTATACAGTATTTTACTCATTGGCTGGGCCTTTGTTGTTAGCCTGTTGCTGTTTCATTTACTAATCATTTGAAACTGTGACAATTTAAGCCAGTCTGTCCATTTTTAAACTTTGAGACCTTTAAAAACCAAAAAAAGGTGTCTCAGAAAGATAATTTCAGGTCGGATTGCCCCAACCCATGTGCAGGACCTTGCATTTGGCCTTGTTGAACTTCATGAGGTTCCCACGGGTCCACCTCTCAAGCCTGTCAAGGTCCCTCTGGATGGCATCTCTTCCCTCCAGCATGTCAACTACACCACTCAGCTGCTGTCATCTGCAAACCTGCTGAGGGTACACTCAGTCCCACTGTCCATGTCACTGACATTATGTTAAATAGTGCCAGTCCCAATACCGACTCCTGAAGAACGCAACTCGTCACCGGTCTCCACTTGGACATCAAGCTGTTGATGGCAACACTTTGAGTGTGACCATCCAGCCAATTCCTTATCCATCAAGTGGTCCATCCATCAAATCTGTATCTCTCCAATTTAGAGACAAGGATCTCATGCAAGACAGCATCAAATGCTTTGCACAAGTCCAATTTATTTCAGAGGGATTTACGAATCCTGTTTTTATAGCTGCTTCATGTCTTTGGGTATATCAAAACAGTTAGGGACATGCAAAGTATCTGGACCTTACAGTTCAAAGATGTTTATTTTAGCCTTTCTTATTTTAACCTTAGGAAGTTCTACTATTGTGGCACTAACTGTTGTTGCAAAAGGCACTATTATCATATTCTAGGCTAGTTTAAAAAGAAATGATAGTGATTCACTGAATGAATTATTCATACTTGGCTGAAGCGACAACATGTTATTGTACCAAGATACAGGAAAATATAAAATTGTATTTGTTCTTTAGCTTTGGACACAATGGTATTTTTAAAAAAATCAAATACTAATGTGTATTTTGGCACAACTTCTTTAGCATTTGTGCCTCCCTCTGATATAAGGTGATGCAAGAGCTTTCATCCAGCCTCTGTGCAGACAAGGACACTGCTTCAGTGGAATGCCAGACAATGTAGTAGTTCTTCTGCAGCAGCCAGGGAAAACATACTTGCCTTTACAGTTAGCTGCTAAGTAACCTTGTTTTTACCCTCTTTCCTTTTTAAGTACCCAGTTCTGCTCTCTGTTGAGGTGAATGAGAGCTTTTGCAGGAAATTTGCTTTTGTTCCATAGAAATTTACAGGAAGGAAATGGTCCTTCAGGAAGAATTCATTCCTGTGCCTTTATGAATTTTCTGTAGCAAGGTTCACAGCAACAGAATTTCCACTACATTTACCTGCAATTCAGAAATAACCTTAAACTCTCATTGCTGTCAACTAGGTATATGTATGTTTAGCTGTCTAAAAATCAAGACAGACATTTAAGATCCTCCCTTCTATGGTCTTAGAAAAATAACTTCATGTGCTTTCATAAAACCCCCCAAACTTTTTACTTATGTCTTTTTGTATCCATCACCACCATCTTGGCGAAATACCTGGTGCTGAGGTGCTGAACACAAGATGCCTCTTCTGTTTTGCTCTCATAAAGGGAAACTGGACAGCTTGTACCATTGTCTGTATGTTACTATGAAAGAAAATTAGATAGCACCTGCAACTTTGAAGCAAAAAGAAGATAAATTTGGGGCAGATTTTACATTCTACCAGAGATACTGAGTCACAAAGGGATTATTAGCAAGTCACAAGCAATCGTTACACCCACTTTTGATGGCTTTGTTTTGTGAAAACAGAAGAGAGCAGTTGTGGTTCTGCATCTTTTCTTGGTTGTTGTGGACATAAATCAATCACAGATTTGGAGGCAGGTATTCCTAATCTTGAACTCTGCATGACGTTCAATACAAAATCAACATATAGTGGTTTATTTTTCTGAAGAACCAAGTTTGAGCACTTGTTTATTAATATTCCAGCTGTGGTGTACATAGTGCACATATTTAAGACATATTGTTGGGATTGTGCTTGTGTCCTGAATGTTGCCAGACTTCTGTTCTGAAGATACAAGATTGAAAGAAGCCTAGTCACCGCTTAGTGGGTTTTTTTCCTATTCATGCTTTTGGGAAGTAAGCCAGTCACTTAGTATTGGGGCCATCGACAGACTCTGACTCACTGACATTTTTGCCCTAGTCATTTGGTTTTCATAGAGTCTTTTTTTTTTTTTCTGGTATAGGTATTTAATCTAAGCCTTCAGATTTAAGAGCTCTTATAACATGGCCGTGAGATGATGATCACATAAACCAATTCTAATGGGGTTTACAAACGCAGGCAGTAAATATAATTACTCTCCTTTAGTGGCAATAGTACTAGTAGTGAAATAAATTAGCAACTTGATCTATCAGATATATTAATTTGCGAGCTAGATTTGGACAGAAGTAGTATAAGAGAGTGTGGTATCAGCCTCTTTATCCCAAAAGATAGAGGATACCAGCGCTGGTTTCCTTACTGACTCACTATTACTCTCTCTGACATATGAGTCACTACATTTTTCAGTAATAAATGTCAGGCATAATGTTTAAAAACAGCAGAGTAACAAGTTACAGCAAAGATCCATACTGTTTTTCCCTTCGCTAAATCTGAACTTTGTATCAGTTATCTCTACCGTGGTGATAAGTAGCCTTTTCAGAATTAGTAGAGGCTAACTCTGCCACATATCTCTAGGCTCACATTACAAAAATCTCTCTCTTCTACTTAAACAGTACTCTTGTTTCTCTGATTCAGAAAAAAGAAGCCTGAAAAGCTATCTTTTTTCCTCTCTTAGCTCTGTTCTTATGGGCATCTGGTTCAGATGGAGTTAAGGGTCTTCTAGTTCATTCAAACATCTGGTGCTATAAATATTCATGCCTTGGTTGGATTCCATTTTTTGTGTGTCCATTGGCTTCTTTTTCTAAAAAAATAGATGAGTTTATATGCGGGGAGCTTTCCTCCGTCTGTGTGTTTGCTCAGCTATGACTGTATCTTCAAAAACTGCTGAAGGAGGAAGAAAATTGAGGTTATACAGAAGCAGTAGAATAGCTATATTGAGTCAGGCAAAAAAACCCACAAACACTTAGACCAGCATCCTCTCTCTGACACAAATCAACAACACATGACATATGTGACAGTACTAGCATGATTATACATTGATTTCCTCAATGCTTCATTAAGCCTTGTCCAAAGTTAGCAGAGAAGCTCTTCTTACAGCCAACAGAGAGAATGGAGTATAAATGTGGACTCCAGTTGAAACAGATTCTCCATCCTTGGAGATATGCAAAATTTATTTGGGCAAGGCCTGAGTAACCTGACCTAACTAGGCCTGCTCTGAGCAGAGAGTTGGACTAGCCAACCTCAGCATCTCCCTTCCAACCTACCTGATTCTGAGACTCTACCCTTTCTATTTAGCACACATCCATCTATTGCTAATCCCTTGGTAGCAGAAAAACAAATCCTTCTCGCACTCATCTGGGATCTTTTCAGTTACGCAGTAAGAATGTCAAAACAGACATTTTGTAGCTTTTTGAAGGCATGCAGGATAAGCTAGGTGCCTACCTATGAGCTAGATGCCCATTGGTTCACAATTCCGTATTACATCCAAATCTACTACGTACTGTATGTTTCACATATCAGATGCCTGTTCTTTGCTCTTTTTGTTTTTCCTAAATTGTTTTACCCAGCTCCCAAGGCTGCATTCCTCTGGCAGACAGTAACTGACTACTGCTGAGTTGTTTATGACCTAGGGGCCTCTGTTATCATCCCGTGTCTGCACTTTCAAGGCTCCAGTTATCATCCCATGCCTGTACTTCTCTGTACTGCATTTTTATTCTAGTGTCATAGATAGGTCACTACAGAAAGAAAAACTATGTGTTGTATCTGCTACTTACAAAAATCTATATTACAGTAAGCCTTACACCATTCAACTGTACACAACTAAGGAAAGGCCGAAACAAACCAGGTAACAGTCACCTGGTTTATCAGACAACTGCTGTTACAGCTGAAAAAACTAAACCCAACCTCCAGACAGGTCAGGACAAGTCCAGGTGAATCCTGACATGTCCTAATGCCTGTGTTGTCAGCTTAACACAGAGCCTGCAGCCTGCTACTTGCAATGGTAGCTCTGTATGTGCTGGGCTGTAAGGCTGAAGAGTCCGGAGGGCCATTTAGCTCCCCCTGTAACAGATGCCACCATTTGAAGAGCCCAGTCCCACCTATAGTGTCCCGAATGTGTCTTGAATCCTGGCAATGTATCCCCTGATCTTCAAGGAGAGTGCATTATTAACATTTTCTTTACCTAGTTCCGATAGTGTTAAGATCAAATAATGTTTCTAAAAGTCATCCTGAAAAGCACATGCTCGGCAAAACTGTTTTGAAATACAAATACCATGGTCTTACCTACACATGCTTTACCTCTGCAAGAGCTCGTGTCAGAACAACTGGTACATTACACATTTGGAACCAGCTTTTCTATCACTCATTACTCTGACGTTATCTAAATGAGCCCAACAAATACCACGCTTCCTTCATGACTGGGACATTTGCCTCAGAGTAGAAATATTTGAGACCCGCATGACCTTCCAAGTGGACATTTGTGTACTGAGTTGAACAACATTCTGTGTTGCTTGTTGACACCTGAGTTGCAGTCACATTCCTGTAGTACTTGCTGATTTGTCACTATACCTGCTACTGTAGATTCACTTTTGCTGGAGACCCAGATCTTCATCTCCAGTTGTAGAGATCAGAAAAAAATGCTGGAAAACACTGTGGGTCCCATTCAGCCCGCAATTCTGGGCTTCATTTCTGTTGAAACTTGGTAGGGTATGTATCAAAGGCTAGGAACTTTGATACGGTGCACGCCTAAGTCTGTCCTTCAAATGGAGTTGGGATACAGTCAATGGAAACAGGACCTAGGAAAGAAATTTTAGATCTGTAAGTACAGGGAGCAAAGGACTATTTCTTATTTCCAGTCAAACTCTCTCAAAAGTATCAGCCAGCATCTTAGGCAATATGGTTTCTCACATCTGTTGGTTTCTATGTTTCCAAAGGTTCTTGCAAATAATTTTTCACCACTTTCTCCTCCTGTCTGGTCCCTTCTCGTCTTTCTGAGTCTTAACATTGCCTGCAGATTTTACAGAGGCTCACATTTTCAATTCCCACCATCTTGCTTCTTATTATATTTGTCAGTGCGAACAGCTTAATAGCAGCACTGTCAGCACACGATTCGGCACTTCTCATTCTAAATGACAAGGAAATAAGCTCACTTAATTCTTACTCAATGTACTTATTGAGTCATAGAGTTATGGCTGGAACATGCCATGGTCCTGATCCTCAGTCACTCATTCTCCTTTCTGAGATGGGCACCTGTGGTTTGGGTTTTTTTTCCTGTTATGGCCATAATTGCACAACTAGCATGGTGGTTGATGCCCACAAGGTCTTCACCTCCAAGAGAATATGGATGGCAGGTGAACACAGTTCCAGAAGTACAGGAGACTGGTCTCCTATGCCTAGAATTAAACTCTTGAATATCCTTTCCCTCTTTTGCCTTTTCCCCCTTATTCTGTGATGAGCAAAATTAGCCCTTAGGTGGCCTCTTCCTCAACTTTCCAGCCAGAAAAGGCTAATCAAATGAGATACCCTAAAAAAACCCCCAAAGAGCTCCAACACTGAGATGAAGTACCGTCTGCTGTTTTTCTGAGAAACATACCCTTATTAAAGATACATTCTGCACACCCTATGGGTCACCTGCCAGCTTCCTCATCTTGTGCATTTCCTTGTTTAATCTGAACTCATTTAGAAGCTCCTTGCGCATCCATGCAGGACTCCTGCTGCCTTTGTTTGATCTCTTACTGGTTGGGATGGACCTTCCTTGAGCTTGGAGGAGGTGATCTTTGAATATCAACCAGCTTCCCTGGACCCCTCTTCTTCCCAGGGTCATATCCGATGGGATTCTTCCAAGAAGATCTCTGAAACGGTCGAGGTCTAATCTCCTGAAATGCAGGCTTGTCGTCCCGCTTTTTGGCTTGCTTCCTCCTCTTAGGTTCCTCTTTCTCCCGGATCCTCCTGGATCCTGTTACTCCAGTGGTCACTGACCACTGCAGCCAAGGCTGCCTCCAACTTTCATATACCTGACCAGTTCTTCCTTGTTTATAAGTATCAAGTCCAGGAGAGCACCTTTCCTTCTTGGCTCCTCGAGACTGAGAGGGCTGGGATTGTTCACCATGGAGAAGAGGAGGCTCAGGGGGATCCCATCCATCTGTATAAATACCTGAAGGGAGGGAGTGAAGAAAAGGCAGCCAGACACTTTTCAGTGGTGCCCAGTGACAGGACTGGAGGCATGTATCTTAGAACAAGATGAACTGCATCATGAAAGTGCCCGTTTTTCTCCACTCACTATAAAAGATATCCAGGTATCTAGATCCAATGCAGACACTGTAACGGAAACACATAAACTGAGTTGAGGTAAGCTAACTGCTCTGTAGTGGAATAAATCTGGGCAATGCAGCTGACAAATATTTCAAGATAAGTGTTCCTCCTTTCATTTAGCTGAACCCACATAACCATCTGCAGGATCAAACCCTTACTGAACTGCTGAGTTTAGAGCACTCCTGTTCATTCCCAGCAGCATTTAAGACACTCAAGCACAGCACTGTCTTTTTTGCCTCAAAACTGCTATGAATGCTGAAGCATCATGCCTGAAGCTATATACGTGCACCGCGCAACTGAACAAAAGCCAGCTTCAGTGGAGATTGTCATTGAAGATTATTTCTCAAAATTCGTTTTTACTTGCTGCCACTGCAGCCCTAAGGCAGCTCAGATGTTGACGGATACTTCCACTCAGATTCAGCAAATGAGGCATTTTTTCCAGAAAGCTATATGCTTTTGAAAACAAGAGTATGGAAAGGACTTGAGCAATTTTAATTACAGTTGCGACTATGTGTTTGTGTATTACTAGTTCCCGAGGTGTGTCTGTGTCAAATTTAGGTGACTGCCTCTAGCTGAAATAGTACAGTCTATTCTGACAGTGGGATACATGTTGTTTGTCTGTTAACATGCCAGGCCAGGGAAAAAGAACATTTTTCTCCATGTTTAACAAGTTACTCGTTGAGGTAAGCAGTTGTATTCAGAAAGTTTTAATTGCCACCTAAGCTCATGTGTCTAGCTAATAGGTAAAAACTATGCACGTCAGAAATCCTCTAAAAGTCATTTGAAGGGCTTTGCAAGATACAGAATGCTTACTTAACAGGAAACTCGAGGCACGGGGCCTTAGGCAGAATTTAGGCTGAGTTAGCGTTGCAGCTGGCTAGGTTTGGTTGATGGTATGGCGGTTAATGGCATGGTAATGCTCTATTTTTTTTTGCATTCTGACTTACATTCAGAGGAGACTAAGCTAGCATTACACGGAGCCACTGTAACAGCGCAGCACTGTGTGGTTTTTAATGCAGTTGTATTACAGAGGCAGAATAAAAGGGTGGTTCCTAATCCAAGAGGTTTGGAATTTCTGCAGAGCTTTATTTTATACAGGAGAAAATCAGTTTGGGCATAAAGCCCGCTGAAGAGCTGTGTATATGGGAAACATACACAGACTGAAAGTTATTTAGAACAAAACCATGATCAGTACTGTGCAGGACATCTAATTTGAATGATCAGCATCATCTTGATACTGAAAAGAACATTTTCACTTTATAACTTTTTCAAATAGATTTGTACATGGTGTTTAAAAGTGTTAGGAGCAATGCCAATACATTAGATTTACTGGCCTAGCAGTAACTTACTGTCAGTGTATACTCAGCTTTCCTCTGTTCCTGTAGGACAGAGACAATGCATTGCAGTTAGTATTTTAAAGCAATACTGGCATTGTAAGAGCAGGGAGTTACTTGTGTATCTATTAGTTGGCCTTTCCTGTTCTAGTCGTATAACAAAACAATTTTCAGATAACATCCAGGCCTTTACTGTTTAGATTTTCTGTGCACATATTCTCATATAAATTCATCCAAGATGTTTTAAAACAATGAAGATACATCATTCACAGAAGACCGAGAACCAATTTAAAAACAAAGTAGCTTTCAGATTAACGGCTGAACAAATATTTGAATAATCTTTTTCCTAAGCAATGCATACTAAAACTGTTTTCTACTTAATCATACCTTATTGATAGTACAAAAAACACAACTGTGGCCAAGATGAGAGTGGAAGTGTCCTGTCCAAACAGGACTTCATAATAGCCATGGATTTCTTCTTGCGGTATCCATCTGTATTGATGCTCAATGCACAACGTGTATCGTCATCCGTATTTTCTATCATTTGCTCCATTTCAGCAGCGACACAGCTTCTTCAGTATAGCTTGGTGGTTTTGCAGAAAAAAGAGCGTAGCGAGCTGCCACTGAGAGATGATTGCTTAGCCAGTTTTGTGGAGTAAGCTTGAGACATTTGAGATGTTCCTCACCCTGAGCTCCGTGTTTCAGTAATGATATCTAAAGCTGGTTCAGATACATCCGCATGGTATTTGGCCATACCCAAGGACCAGACTTGCAAGACTATACACATGTATATACATACTGGACAAAGATGACGACACTGTAACTGAAAATCTGTATTCAGCTGTGAAATATTAAAAGTAGTCCAGTGTTCCTGTTAGTGGTGGCTCCGGCACTGCCTGCGTTGCCTAAAAAAGGAGAAGGAAAGACGAAGAAAACCAAGCCAACCTCCTGCTGTTTCTTTCTAAGAAATTCAGTCCCAGTGGTTTCTTTAAGCCAACTTCCTGCTTGAAGTAGCTATCTAAACCCATACAGAGATCAGAAGTTTTGTGCAGTTTACATAACCAAGAACATGGAATTAAAACTAGTTTATAAACAGAGTTCGAAAACAGTGAGGAAAACAAATACAGCCAGTAAATTCACAGCCTGGTTTCAGGTCGGTCCATGAGTCAATGATGTGCCTTAACTTAATTAGATTTAAGTTTGAAAAAATCTATTTATTTCCCACTGACATTATCTGTGTTAGAGGTCTGAAAGCCAATGCTCAAGATGCAAAATTAAGCTACAAAAACTGAAATCTTATTTTTTTGTTCAGTTTTTTGACAGAAATGTACAGCTTTTATTCTAAATTCTTTAAATGTTACAGCAAGCAAAAATAGGACAGTAAGCATATTTACTTAAAATAGTGCAAAGTTGTAGAATAATGTCAATTTGCAGTACTGCTTTTATATATGTGTATTAAGATAAAATTAATGTAGTTCTGAAATCTACCTATTATGTAAGTTCCATCATAAACCTTAAAAATTTGAATAGGCTTATACAAGTGAAGAAGTGTAAGGTTAAATACAGTGCTTTCTTATTTGCTGGCCATTGGTTAAATAATGAATGAAAAACGAGTTTGAAATTGCTAAGTCTTGTACTGCTTGCCTGTGTGCAATTACGTTCAGACTTGTCTGAATTCAGACCTCATCCTTCAAGTCAACTTTCTGCAGAACCGAGCTTTGCAACTGTTATTACTACCAAGAAGATTCTTGTCTTGGCTCACTTTCATGGTGGAGCAAAGTTCACACTGTTGTAAACTTGCTGACTAACAGCAATTAAGTTTTTTCTTTCCTAAAACAAATCTGAAGCAATACTTTCTTTTAAATGTCATTTTGTCACTGTTTTGTTTACATGCTATTTAGAACAGTATTTATGTTTCCTTAAGTACAGAGCTTTTACAATAAACAATTTACTGCAGGATCCAGGAAACAGTGATAATCATTACTGTCATTGTAGGCCCCCTTAAGGTTTAACAAGGTCAAAACGAAACTCTTAAAACTAATAAACTGTTTTAATCAACATGACTTGTTCATTGAAGTAATAAAGTCCTAACAGTTCTGAAGTACACATTTTTCACATTCAGTATCTATTTTGTACAGGAGAGTACGAGAGAGATGTGGACAAGCTGGAGAGAGTCCAACAAAGGGCCACCAAGATGATGAAGGGCCTGGAGCATCTCATGTGAGGACAGGCTGGGAGAGCTGGGACTGCTCAGCCTGGAGAAGAGAAGGCCTGGGGGGAGGATCACATCAGTGTGTATAACCACCTGAAGGGGGGGGGGGGTTGCAAAGAGAATGGAACTAGGCTCTTTTCAGTGGTGCCTGGTGGCCGGACCAGAGGCAATGGGCACCTTCCACTTTTAGCCTTCTATCAATACAATAACATAGCCTCCTATCCAACTACACAGCTCAAAAAAAAAAAAAGCTTACACATTCCACAAAGAACAAGAACTGAAAGATGGACGTGTTTAAAGCCTAAATTAGTCACATTGCCTGTTTTGAGGATAAGTTCCATAAGTACACTGATAATATTCCTGAAGAAAAAGAAGCTGGGTCTCTGCGTATCTCATAGGTTGTATCACCCATCCAAAATTTGTCCTGAAGTATGAAACTCCCTCCCCAGATGCAGCTTTACTACTTTTGCTGAATCTACCCCTGCCTCTACTGACTCTTTTCCAAAGCTACTATGGCATATTTTCTCATTTCCCTATTAAAGACATTCTGATTGTTGCCTACTGTCCTTTCTTCCCTTAAAAAAAAGTGATTTGTACAAGTTCAAAACTGAAAATTTCAGATTAATAAATGCTTACTCAATTGTATTCTAACATTTACAGACTTAAATGCAGATTGGCAGCTATTAAGTAGTGCCCAGGTTGGAGTTTCTAGGACAGTGTATTCCACGGAGCGGAGATTAAAAAAAAAAACCACTTACAAAACCCGTGGAGGTCAGGTGACATTTTCAAAATTTCAGATCAACACTCCATCTCTGTTTTGTACACTTTTCAGGAAACATCTTCCTGGGCTGAGATGTCACATGTAACACTTCAGAAACAGTTTACTTTGGGGAAATTTGTTTCTAACAATATATAAGACACTAGAAGTTAAACCTATTACATGAACGGTCCAAATTCCATTTCCTATGAAACCTGGTAATATAATTAAGAGATTTTCTTTCTATTTGGTAACAGAAGCACAGTGCAGTACTCTGTACAGACTATTCTTAAACTCAACTTGACCTTTACTAATAACTGTTCCTTTTAAGACACAATAATTAAACATAGAAACTTTCATTATGTATAGAGGTAAAGAGGAAAAAGGAGGAAATCCTGTTAGGAAAATAATAACATTAATCCATTTCTAGCCTGTATTTCTCTGCCAACTTTGTTTCCTAACTGTTAGGGCTTTTGATGTGCAACAGACTTCTTGTATGAGGAACGTAACAAATGCAATAAACAATAGAGTCTGCCTGCACTTCTCAAACTTGTTTTGTTTGATAGCTTTAGTAACCACTGCACTAGCCAGGTATGGGGTGCAAGCGAGGTCTTGGGTGCACGCAGAAAGCCTCAGCTTCCACCCCCTCCTCCCTCATAATCCTGTGTATCTTCACTCCCACCCCCATCTTGAAACAAAGCTCGCTCTCCACTTCTCTGCCCTCCTACGCACACATACTGGGACCTAACTCCACTCCCTTAAGTCCTCACCCAGTTTATCAGTAATGACTGCTTGCACGAAAACACTCACCTCACTGCGCGGGTCAGCCCCCACACAAGCGAGCAGCCTGGATACAGGTGATGACTGGGGCTGCAGGGTGAAGTCCTGCCGGCAAGCCATTAGTGATAGCAAGAAGCTGCTTTTGTGAGATCATTTACCTTGCAGATCAGTTATACTCCCCTACACAGGCAGACACTTCTCTCCACTGCAGCTGGGAGCTGTACGTACAGCTATTTTGAAATTGCTTTGTACCACAGCTACATCTCTGACAGTCTGGGAGCCTAGGGATGAGTCATCCTCAGCTGATATGCCACTATGGCTGAAGGTGTTATTCACCGTTTTTACCCCAAGAGGTCAAAAACATAAGCACTTAAAACATAACCATATAAACATTTGCAGTTTTATGAAGAAGAGAGGAGGGGAAAGTCACATTTTCTTGTCAGAGAATGGTGCATTGCCTTTAATTTTCCAAGTAACCGAGGGCAAACAGGCTCACGACTCTGATTTGTTACAGGCAGATGCCTATTCAGGACCATTCTCCAGGTCCAACGGATCTCTTCAGTGCCACATCCTGTATCTTCTTGCCCCATGGAGGTTAAGCATCTAAGCAAGGCACAGTTTTGCAACAGAATTGCTTCACGGAATAGTACTGCAGAGAGAAGAGTGGGGAAAGGGCTGAGGTGGAAACGTGGTCACGAGCTGGACATTCTCTATGCGTAGCCACCCAGGAAGGGGCTGGGCACGGCTGCCAGCACAGCCAGCGGGCTCAGCGCAGCACAACGCGCAGGGCGGCAGCAGGGCCTGGGCCTCTGACAGCCCTCGGCCTAGTGCATCGACGGC